GTCTCGCGCACCTATTTGCGTGGCAGGTTCCCGGGAAGTTGAAATGGTCAGCGTTGGTAGCAATGGGAGAAAGAGAAAGAAGACAAGCAGGCATAGGAAAATGCAGTTTCCATAGTGCAGGGAAGAGGGCGGGCACTTGTCAGAAAACAATCCCAGGGAACTCGTTTATCCGTGACAGGGAGTCTTTCCCCCTCAAAGACACCCTCAGTACCCACACACAGTTAAGTGCTTTATCATGCCTGGGACTGCAGAGTTGAAGACGCCCTTGGGGAGATGCTTGGAATTGTTACATCTCCAAGACTTTTGTGACTTTCAAAGTCCCTTAACAAATAAGGATCCATATGATGACATCCCCTAAATAACAAAATGAGAGCTACTGCTAAGAGTGGGGATTCCTGAGTTTAGGGCAGCAAAAATATAATAGAATTGTCTCAAGGAGGTATATTTAAAACTAACCTTCCATTTTAACCTATACATGTGAAAACGAAATAATAATGCCACAAGCAATGCCTTTTTCAACATGGCATAGGCTGCCCCCCTTTGATGGGCTTGGTCCTTTGGTTTTCGGTTTTCTTTAGACCTCTTGGCCTTTTTATGCTAACAAATTGCCTAGCAATATGTCTTAGCCGAGAAAAAAGATGAAGGGCATCTTATATTGGACTTGATGAAAATGCGCCCCATTTCATTGGCTTTGCAATATTTTACACCCCACTTATGAAATATATGAATGTGTGCTGCTTCTACATCCCGCAATCTGGAATAGCAAACAATAATAAAGGGAGTAACCTTTTCCAGCATCCTGTGATGATTGCCTTTGAGAAACTTCCTTTTGCCATTGTCTCTGTTTTTTTAAATGTTGAATTTTATGCACAATTCAATTCTCCTATAATTCAGTGTTTACTCACTCCGCTTGATGTTTACTTGCTCATGTTAGTAATGATGGGGTTCAATTGGTTAAAACCAACTTAAAGGTAAAGAACAAAAATTTTAACATGAACGGGCAACAGCTTAATTGATCAGCATAGAGCATGGCTATTCATGGTTTTCCCATCGACTACCTTGGTTACGGAGTTAAAGACAACATAGACCAGCAAGACAAATTATCACCTATATGCTCATAGCATGAAGTCTGCAGGGCTACAGCAGAACTGCAAACTCATAATTCCTAAGTCTTCCAACCTCCAAATACAAATTGTGTGGGAGGCACAATTTCAATTCTCACTTAGAAGGCAGTCCACGCAACCAGCGCTAAGAAACTCTAATTAGAAGTATCCCAGTTTTCCTCAACCAAAGAATTCATTCTTGCCTCCTTTCTGTTGCCAAATAAGCTATTTATTTATTTAAAGCTTGTTCTACACCTTGCGATTTTCCAACTGTTCTCTCATACTTTTCCAGCAAAAGTCAGCTAATAACATCTGCCAATAGGTTCTCTACTGCAGGACTAGGCACTGCTTGTGTGGCCTGTTGCCAGCAAACAGCCTGGTTGAAAGTTTTTCTCAGGGTCCAGGATCTTTCGTTGGTAGTTTTCATTTCCTTGTTACTAGTTTAAAAAAAAAAAAAAAAAGCAAAGGATGTTTTACAAAAACCTTTTGCAGTAAAGATTCTATTAGGAAAAGAAAAAGTCTGTTCTACAATTATTGATCACTATTCCTGATAATCAATTTCATAAATATACCAAAAAATCAAGAATGTCACGATGGTGTAAGATATGACAAATTAATAATACGTAATTTATCAAGGGTTCACAAGGATGGGAGGGTAAGGGAGGGAGGGAAAAAAGAGCCGATACTAAGGGCTCAAGCGGAAAG